GCCGATGAGCTGGCTCTTGGGGACACTACCTGACCCCTTCCCTCCCAGCCAGCAGGCTGGTGCTCCAGAGGGACAGGATGGCTTACCGGAGAGGCAGGCAGCCGTGTCGATCCACTTGAGCAGCTGGCCAGTGCTGAGCTCGCCGCGGTGGTTGGTGTGGCAGGGCAGCACCAGTTGGCTCATCTGCACCTCGGTGGGGTTGCGGGCAGGCGAGGGGCTGGCCATGGCCCCCGGTGCCTCCTCCCGTTTTTCCCGGGCACGTGGCGGAGGTGTCGAGCCCTGCGGAGCACAAAAGCTCCATCGTACCCAAATGGGAAGAAAATCCCCTGAGAGAACCGTGACCCATGCAGCCCCCTCCCCATGCAGAGCCAGGGGAACCCTGAATATCCCCAGACACTACCAATCCCACCCAGCCCTTGCCAAAGATACAATGTCCACAGCCAAAAGGAAAAAATCCCTCAAAAACAGCTCTGTTGGTGACTGCTGCAGGTTTCCAGTCCATGTATCAACCAACCCAAATTCTCCCTCTTGAAAACCATGCAAAACCCCTCCTAAAGTCAATCAACTCTCTTTTACTCTCCCAACAGCTTCATTCTTAGGGTGCTACAGCATATGGTGGGTTTGTGCTCCTAAGCCTTATACCCAGAGCTGGGCATGCAGTGATGCTCCACACCTTCCACCACGCCCCCTTTGCCAAAGGAAACACCAACAGCAGTTTTTCCTGTATGGAAGCATCTCCAGGTTGGGGGTTTTGGGCCGTAAAATATATTCCTTGTTGGCCTGGCTGTTTGCTGGGCAAAGAGCAGCTCCCCTGGCACCCCAGCGGGGGGCAGGGTTGGAGAGAGAAGCTGCTACTGCAGCAGTTCTGGCAAGGAAAATAGATGATGAGATGTCAAGTGAGTCGTGTTACACAAGGGGTGAACTCAGTTAGCCCGGTGAGTAATTGAGGAGACACGAGGAGCCGTCTGGGCTTCGTCACAGCCCTTCCTTCCGCTTTCTGCTCCCGCTCACAGCACTTGTTGCGAGAGTCCCACTGCAGCAGCTTCTTTGCCCTTTGCTTTGCCAGGATTCTTTTAAAGACGAGTTTATGCTGAAAATGAAGGTTTCCCGACTACCCTGAGCTCACCGCCTCTCAGAATAGCATTTTTCTCCAGCGGGTCTAACCTCTGTTTCCATAGCTACTGGTACATGACATCCCAGGAACGGCACAAACCTCATCTCAGCAGAGACAGCAGTGAGCACACCATGCCAAGCCTGTGGCAAAGGGCCTCCCCATCCCATGGCAAGACAGACCCCTGACCACCAGAGCCCCTCCAGCAGGCTCCAAACCCCTCTGTGAACCTCACGGGCTGCTTCCCAGCATGCAGAGGCGCCTCCACCAGTACCACAGAGCTATTTCGGGAAGCCAGCAGGCTCCGGGGTACGAGCCAGCAATGCAAAGAGCTACAACGCTGCCTGCTGCAGAGCGAGCAGACAGCCTGGCCAGAGATCCCACCGGTCATTTTCCCGGCACTCTAAATTTTAGGGACAAAGCTGCTACTCGTGGGAAGAGCCCTGAGCGTGTGGTAGCCAGCATGAGGTCAGGGATGCTGATGGGGAGGGAACATGTGGCAAGCAGATGCAGCTGGGGCCGGTGCAGGACTGGGAGCAGCTCCCAGCACAGGATGGCATCTGTGTGGCACAGCCTTGGTTAGTAACTGCTGGCACAACGGGGAGCCCTGAGGTTAGTTGCACGGCATGGAGGGTACCTGGAGGCCATTGCAACAGAAGTTCAAGATCTCTTCAGGGACTATAATATTCCCCTTGACCATTTTTATGAGGCACCTGGGAAGGAGAAGAGTGGCTCTGGTTACAGCAGGACTGGCAGACCTGCAGGGGGCTGTTCCCTGGTGGGGACAAGACAGTGTGTGTGGCAGGTTGTCACATCCTGTCCCTGTGTCCCATGCTGACGTCTCTACCCACACCACTGACCTCTTGCCAGCACCTGTCAGGGGGCTGCCAGAGCCAAAAGGGAGAAGGGTAGACCCAGGGCTGGTGCCTGCCATTCCTTGGGGGTCAGGTCCCATGCTCACTGGCTGTGATGAAAGAGTCCCAGCTATTTTGGGGGGCTGGACTGAGCCCAGGGTGCATCCACAGCATCACCCCTCAGTCAGTGATGCTGTGTCAATGCTTCCCGTGTTGTTACACGTGACAGGACTGTGCCTTGAAGCTCTCCTGGACAGACTGGTGACACTGCCGCAGTCACAAGACAGCCAGGAGCATATTTTTGGCAGCAGGCAGAGCTCAGTCTGCCCACGGGTGGTACTGGGGGCAGCAAATGGGAAGCTCCCAAGGCCAGCAATGCTGTTGTGCCCTGCTCTGGCCCCTCTGCCTGTGAAGCCCTGGCATGCCCCAAGGGCATCGTGTGTCCTTGGGTGCCCACAGGCTACTGGGCCACATGCATGGTGATTGGGTCCCACCTGGACACTGTGGTGGCATTGCAAGGAAAGGCAGCGTGGGAGCTGCAGCAAAAACAAGAGGAAGAGGCTTTATGTTTACAGTTTGCTTTTAAGCACAACACTGCCAGGCCCTTGGCATGGCCTCAGCCTCCCAGCACACATCCCTCTCCCACACAGGTACAGCCAGGCTGCCGGAGGCAGCAGCTCCTTTCCCAAGGCGTAGGATTGACTGATTTTGGTACGGGGTTAAAAAAGTGGAAGCTGTAGATTTGCCTCCTGCACCATCAGCCCTTTGCAGGAGCCAGCATTGGGGCATCACACAGTTGTACACCCATTGGGGTCAGTGTGAAACAAGGGTGTTTGGGTCACCTACAGATACAAACATCACCACTGAGCCTCTCACAGCCTCCCACCCCTGCCTCACTGGCACCAGGCTGTGCTTTCCCCAGCCCCATGACTTCTCCAGCCTTGTTATTGAGGCTTGGGAGCTTCCTTATGGCTCACCTGCCCTTGCAAGAACCCGGTGCAAGAGTTACTCTTGTTTAGCAAGACGGATTTGCACCCCAGTTGCAGGCACGGGAGGGTGGTGGTGGCTGCGGGTGGCTCTGTCACACCCCGTGGCTGCCCCAGCCAATGCCAGAGGGCCATTCCTTGGAAACCCAAACCTGCTCCTGGCTCAGCAATCGTGTCACCTTGTCCCCTGGGTTGCATTATCAGGAGGGGGAAAAAAACAGAGCTGCCTGCTTTGCATCATCCCCCTGCCATTTCCCCAGTGGACCCAGCCCACAGTCCCACCCTGGGGAAGGGGAGCGCCCCGGCCGCGCTCCAGAGACCTGGAACCATCGAGCCCGTGGGTATTTATGGAGTATTTGGTTATCGAAACTAAGCAAGCAAGTGTCTGTCCTCATTAAAATCTTCAGCCTCACTCAACTGTCACATTTTTAAAGCTGTTGACTGATGCAGCCCTCGGGTCACCATGGCAACGGGATGCAGTACCCAGGCAGTGATGCTCTTACTCTGTCACCCCTTGAGTGACCCACTTCTACCCCAAAAAAAACCCCACAAAGTTTGCGTTAGAAAAAATACCCCTTCCAGCAGAATATTTTTCTTTCTTCCTGCCACACTTCATTCCTGCACTGCCAAAGGCATAAGGAGCCCACAAAGCAAACTAGGGGGTGACACAGAGGGGGAGATACACCAATCACTCCACAAATACCAGGAGAGAGGGACCCCACAGCACTCCACTCTCCTCCTATACCCTGGCAGGGGGTGTCCCACAGCACCAGTGCACCCACAAGCTCCAGGGAAGGTCTCTGCTGCCAAATTTGGTGTGGGCCTCTTGGGAAATCACCATGGGACCACCAGCCTGCAGGAACTTCCATTGCAAACCCCCTTGGGTCCCACAGTCTCCAGGTTGATGCCAGTCAGGGATGCAGGAAGGGGAACAGTCATTCCCCCAAATACTTCAGCCCACTGGAAGCAGGGTGTTTGCTTTAACCTCCCTGAAGCAGTGGATGAGAGGGAGGGAAGAGGGTGAAACTGGGGTGGGGGTCCCCAGTGCTGGGCTGTGGGGAGCTCTGAGCCGAGCCATGCAGCCTCACACCTCAAGCCACTCCTGACTGCCCTCCAGAGCTCTCCCACCACCCCACTGCCACCTCCCAAACACCTAATTCCCATTTTCCCTCACCTGGCTCTATCTCCTACCCCCACACCAGCCCCTTGTCATAACCTTACCCCTCCCTGGAAATACTGAAAGAAAAAATGGGGGGAGATAGGGGGAGGAAAGCGGCGACAATGAAGTTCTCATGGGGGATTATTGGTGTATAATTGAGCAATATCCATGGTAACAAGCAAATCTGCACGCGTTAAAAAATTAACCTGACCTACTTTGGGAAATTCTGCCATCTCGACAGGGCAGTGAGGGCTCTCCTTCCCCTGAGACCTCACCCAGCAGTCCCACTTCCAGCAGCAGCAAAGCCCTGGTGCTCCCAGAGATGATATGGGCAAGGGGAGATGTCCCCTCCAGCAGGACCTCCATGAGTGGAGTGGCAGTGGAGATGCCCAGCACAGCTCAGCTCCACCACCCCATGCTTGCCAGGATGGAGGGAGGTCCCTAGGATGAGACCAGCAGTGCTTGCTCAGGTGTGGGGTACAGGGTGCTGGCTCCTTTGTGGAGGATGATGGTCCCACCGGGACAAAAGGGACAGAATTGCCAGGTCATGGCACAGTGAGGAAACATGTGTCGGGTCTCAGTGGGACCCCAGGAGGATGGCCAGAGCAGAAGAAAAGCCAGTGCACCCTGCAAGAGGTATTTTTTGGACCACACATCATGTTTCCCCAGAGTTCATGGAGCAAAGCAAGGCATAGAGCCAGGAAAGTACAAACAGAAGGCCAAAGGCAAGAGGGGGATGCAGGATGACTCCCCTTATGAGGGGCCAACAGTTTTACAACCACCACCCATAGGAAAGCTTCACTCAGGATGAGCACAGACAGGACCTCTCCAGCCCTTTCCTGTCCCTCCACCACTGGGTGAAGCATCCCCAGCCCTGGCCACGCGTGCAGCCCCATCCATACCCCTGCCCAGATATTCTCCGCAGCTCCTTTGAGGCTCTCCAGAAGGCTGGTGCTGTTTTGCAGGCACAGGGGGCAAAGTCCTGTAGGGAGTGTCCCAGGTGACAAAAGGCTGGCTCCAGCCCAGGGGAAGGATAGTCACATGTCACCCCAGTACAGCTGCAAACACCGCCAGGGCCAAAATTCACATGTGCAACATGTCCAACAGCATCGTCC